GACCCCTGTCCCCACGTAAAAAAGAACAGCAACAGCGCCCGAGGACTGGTAAGCTAAACTAAGTCTTTATCCATGATATGCTAGTTTTCTATATGCAGGCAGGAGTTGGGGTGGGGCGGGGTTAAACTTGTGGGAAAGTGTTAAAAAATGCAGTCCTCTCACTCTCACCATTTTAAACTGCAGTCCTAAAGAGCAACCTGGGAACTAAGTGGGAACTTCTGAATAGAGGCGCTTAGGATCCTCGCTGTCTTCCAGTCGACCCTCTAAATCTGCATACCTTTTCGAGCAGCTCTTTTCAGTCTGATCATTCTTGGGGATGCTTGAGGATGGATGGATGACCATCAGAAAGAGAGATAGACATGTGTGCGTGTGTCCTGATTTCCACTGGCAGCAAGGGGCCAAAAAGAAGCCACACTTGTGACGCCTCGCAAGAGGAAGTTCTGTCCTTCAGATAAGCCAACTTTGGCTTCTGACACCGCCCTCTTTCGTCCCCCTACCCTTCTCCCTATGGGCTCTAATTCGTCGGCACTTCAGCGTCTCCCCGGGGCGACTCGCCTCTTACGATTTCCGCGAAATTCGCTTCCCGATCAGGACGATTAGGATCGCAGCTTGGTGCGCCCTCGACCTCCCTCAGCTATCGATCTTTGCGCGCACCTTGGGGCGATTAATTCTGGAAGTACTCTGGAAAGAGAGGGGGGGAACAGGGCCTACTTTCGAAGGCCTCGCGTTAGGAGTGAATTTCCCCACCGCCTCACAAACAACACCCCTAGATCCTTGCCAGGCGGACTCATAGTGGTGGGACGCGCAAGGTTCTCGCGCTCATCCTCGCTAACTGGGAAAATTGGGCTGTTTTTTTCCATTCTTGCATTGGATGGACCGGCCGGCGGAGAAGCAGCAGCATCTTTGCTGGGAATGTCCCTTTCTGCCAAAGCCTCGTGACCTTTGCTGCCGCTTTTCGCTAAGTTTGGAGCTCTCGACGCTTGAGATCTGCTTGAGAAAAAGGAGCAAAAGCTTTAATAGCTTCTCATGTTGCTGCGCACAAAAAGGTCTGTCCTCAGGCCTCCTCGCACACAACACTGCTCGGTCACAGCAACCCGAGATATCAAGAGCGCCATGTTCAATAGGCCAACCTATAGATGAAGGGTCACCTCTCAATTTGGGGGGCTTGCTGTCCACATTTCACACAGGGTTTTTCAGTGATCCTGTTTGCTTGCGTCTTTGCTAGGTGTGCGCGTTACATTTTTGTGTGTCAAGACATACTGTGAATTGTACGCTTTAGTAACAACTCTTTGTTCAGACAGACACAGAAATGTAGCCTGTGTTTCTTTGCTGAAGGAACCCTTTCGAAATCGCCACACTGTTAAGTGCAGCTGTAGAAAGAGAGGCATCCTGGGAGGACGGTGTGGTTTTTATTTTTTATTTTTAAAGGAACTCCCAGACACGACTGCAGCTGAGCAAGAGGCATTCAGATCCAGCTCTGTTAGAGTCAATGGGTTTTTTTCTTCTGATTCCAAGGATGGGTCGTATCGACGTAAAACGATAGTTACTGGTTTTTGGGCGTGCAATCTGGGAGTGACTGTGCCTGCGGCCGCAAATATTCACCTGCGCTCCTGTAGCAGAAACGAGTGCAACGATGTATTCAACTAAACGCAGTACACTGCTAAGTGTGCATTTACGATGCTTTAATTAGGTGCAAAAGCAAATTAATACAAAAACTTATATTACATCTCAGTGATAATGCTATGCTATCTTGAGCGTGTACGTGTGTATACTATGTAAAAACAGGGGAAATATAAAATGGCAGTTATACAAGACATAAGCATATTCACATATAGAAGGCCATGAAGGTTGTATAGGCGCAAGCACGTCATATGACACCTTGAGTCATATGACCAATATTGCTCTGTGTGTTTTCCATCACGTGTACCACAATGTTTTAGGTGCAGACACTGTTATGCCTATTATATTACAGTAAATACAGGACAGCAGAACAAATGTGGGTCTGAATGTGTGTTCACACATATCCAGGCATAAAATCAGGCGCTGTCCCCATTTGTCTGTAGCTTACTGCGAAACACTTGCACTTGGAAGCGAGTCTCATTCATTAATTTCTGTGGAACTTCGGCGGTGCATTCGGATCCTAACGATGTTCATGCAGAAGTAATTCATTTTATTTCTTATTTGGGGTTTCAGTAAGTCTTAACCCCTTAACAATATACCTTAACAGGGCTGTGCGTTGTTCCCGGCTTCAGAGGCGCGCGCCTGTATTTCTATGCACATAGGAATATTTTCAAAATATTACCGACAATGCACGGGGATCCAGTCCTCGCGTTTTTATTTTGTTATTTTCCCCACAAAGTAGAATGACAAAGGGCATAGTTACTTAGTTCTGCCATGCATATGAAACCATATCCGGTAATAACTGTACATTTCATGAATTCTGAATAAAGCAGGCGAAAAGAGACCGTATCGAGTCACTTTAGGGCGGCGAGTCATGTGCTATTTCTAAAGCCAAGGAGACGAGCGAACGAGCGGTTGCTCCCTATATTTAATGATCCTTATCTCGCTTCTCTCATTTTGAAGCCCGCTTTATAAAAGGGAGCACTCTGATTTTATATATTTATCTCTCTGTGTGTAGCGACAGTTTTAAAAACAATCGCAATAGGGTTTTTTGTTTTTTAAAAAAACAGACTTAAAATGTTCACACACCCGTCTTGACGGGGTTTTACTAAAATGCAGACCGTGACAAGTGGGACTCATTTGCTACTGGAGAGGGAACAAGTTCAGGACTGGGCGACTAGTCGAGGCCTTTCGTTGCGCGCAGGGCACGAGTGGATCGCGTCCTCCGCCTCAACCGCCCGCGTCAGTGGCTAGGGCAGCCCTGAGGCCTCTTGCGAGACGGGTTTCCCCGGCTGTTGATGGGAGTTCAATGGCAAAATCGATGAGGTCGGACTTGGCAGGTGGTGAGACGGAAGGAGACGCGCTTGGAATTACGGGCGGGCAGCGGCGTCTCCAGGCGAACCCAAGACCCTCCCTCTAAAGGGAACGAACTTTCCTAACCTCTGATGAAAGGAAACAAATTCCTTTCCCCGAGCACCAGTGTCCCAGCTCCTCCCCACACACCCCGCTCCATTCTCCGCGCCTCGGGAGGACGTTCTCGAGGCTCCCTCTATGGGGACCGAAGGAACACAAGCCTGGAGCTGAGAGAGGTTTGCAGATGCTTGGCTGATGCTCTCCCTCTCCCAGCTCAAAGAAAGGGGCGACACAAAACACAATTCATTCTCCAACACACATGTGCTCTTATTCCAGGGGTACCTACTTGAATAAAACGGGGGGGGGGAGCAGGTAGGTAAGCCCCGCCCCGCATAATCGATCACATGCACGCACACTATTTGAATGGCAATGCCCATCAACCTGGGAGGGACCCGTCCCTGCCCCCTCAAATATTTTATGGGTGGGGTGGGGGGGGCGAAGACCTCTCAGCCCCTAGGAATTGGCTCCTATAGCTCATTCTCTCTCCCTCGCTCTCTCTCTCACACACGTGTCAAAACGGATAAGTATATATTTAGCTCTCTCGCGCGGGTTCAACTACACGCAACGCAATCCTGCAAGTCTCACACCTTGCGCACAGGATTGCAGGCATAGACACACGTTCGTACACAGGCAATACTTTCAGTCAGAACACAGTCTTATACACAAATGCCAGGGCAGGAGGAAGTACGGGGACATTTTCTAAGGCCTGGTTCACACATGCAGCGCGCATCAGCTTCCTACATGACGACACCTGAGGACTGACGTCTGAACGCATAAAGAGACTCCGTAGAGAAACATCTTGATGCAGGGCGGAGAGTGAAGCCCCGTCTGCGGTGATTAATCTGAGATAGCCAATCTTCACCTCCTGAAAATAATGGCTCGACGTGGCAGCTAGCAAGGGGGGGAAACAAACCTTTCAGAGGCTTACAAATGTAAGCAAACATTTTTAGATACACTTCTCTCTCTCTCTCTCTCTCACTCACTCTCTCTCTCTCACACACACACAAAATCACACATTTCCACGACTGAACCAGGAAACGGAAGCTTTCAATGTTGGGGAGCCGGGGCGGAAGGTTTCTCCTCCCGCACAAAAAGGACAAGCCTTGAATAATGGGGACAGGAAGGAAAGGGACAAATGAAATGCACAGGCCCACTGCCTGGCCTTAATGAGCAGGCCCCCCTCCCTTTCTCTCCCACCTCTCCCATATTGTGTTTTGATCAGGCCCGTCGAGACCCTTCGCAACCCCAAGTTCAACTCCCGCCCAGCTCAGAAACACATCAAAGCCCCCATTGACCCCACTCTCTGCTTCCGCGCGTGTGACGGCTCCGGCATTTTGCTAGAGATTTCACTTTTGCTGGAGAAAAGGAGAACGAAACAAAAGCTCGTGTGTGTGTGTGTGTGTGTGTGTGTGTTTGCGCGCCCGGCCTCGCGAGCAGCAATCTTATATGCACTGCTTCGGGTTTCACGGAATCCCTTGCATTCAGCGGGATTTACTTCCGAGGGTCAATTCCACGGGCTGCAATCCTAAAGGCGTTTACTTGAGCGCAAGCCCTCACTGAGGGCAGGACTTCTGCATATGGTTCGGCTACGAGGGGCTTTACTGATTGATACACGCACCCCTGCACTATCCCCCCCCGCAGTTGCCTTCATCAGCCCTCTTGTTTCTTCCAGACCCACAGTCGCTCGGGGCGCGCAAACACACACACACACACACACACCCCAGCCCGCCATCCCCTCCAGTTTGTCAATGAATCCGCCTCCCCCGCGGGGCTCCGCCCGCCGCCCTCGCTGATTGCTCCGCCGCTGGCTAATCAGGCGCCTCCTCCCCCGCCCCCCTCCCCTCGGAGCTCCCAAGCCCCGCAGCCAATGCGCGCAGGGCCGTAACTTTACTTTTCTGATTGGCGCTCGGCGAGCTGAGTGACGGGCCGGCCCGGCGGCAGCGGCCGGCAGCGCTTGCCCTCCCTTGCCTCCTTCCCTCCTCCCCCCCCCCGCCTCTGGCTCCCAGCAGAGGCTGCAGCCCCCCGCAGCCGCTGTCCACACGAAACTGGGTCCTGAAAGCTGCTTTGGCCGAGAAGCGCGCTTCTCCGCTGAGGGAGAGCGAGCGAGGGAGCCGCAGGACTGCGACGGCCAGCCGAGGAGGAGGAGAGCGAGCGAGCCCGGCGCTCCTGAGGAGAGATTTCCTGAGGCGCCTGGAGCTTGAGCGCCCAGGTGTGTGTGCGTGAGGGAGAGAGAGAGCGCGAGTGCGCGCGCGCGGAGTGGGTGGGTGAGGGGACCCTCCCGCGAGAGCTGGCCAGGTGGAGACACACGCGCGCACACACGCGCGCCAGCAGCACACAGGCGCGCAACTAGAGCCGGCTCCCTTCGCGAGAGAGAGAGAGAGGGAAGCTCCCTCCGCAGCCTGAGGCGGGAGAGCGCACGCGCGCGCTTGGCCATGGGAGAGCCGCGACGCCGGGCGCCCGAGGAGCGCGGCAAACTTGAAGCGCGCGCGGAAGTGGGCGCGTGAGGTGGCCAAGCGCGCCGCGAGCAAAACGCCGCCTCCCTCGCTCCCTCCCGCCTTCTCTCTCTCGCTCCCTCTCCTCGTCGCGCGGCGGGGATGCCGCTGGCAGGCTCCAGCCGCCGCCGCCACCACCGCCGCCGCTTTCTCCTCACCTCCTCTGGCGCCTCTCCAAGCCCAACTTCCCGCCAACTTCGCGGGCTCTGAGGGCGCCCGGCGGAAGGAGGTCGTCGCTCGCGCCTGCCCGGAGAAGGGGAGAACGGACTTCTTTCCTCCGCCGCTCGACGCCGCGCGGTTCTCCTCAGGACTTGGGACGCCCGCCCAGCGAGACACGCCGCCGAGGGAGACACCTGTCCGTAGCCTTCGCGCCCTCTCTGCGAAAGAAGCCGTCGCCTCAGAGCCGTCGCCGGAGCGGAGACCTCCAGCTTGGCTTGCCGGCTGAGGAGACGGAGGAGGAGGAGGAGGACGACGACGACGGAGGGGGACCCGCTCGCCTCAGACAAAAGACTGACCCGGGGCACTTCCCGCCCCCTGAGGTAGCCCTTGCCTTCGTCGCGGTGGCGAAAAAGAAAGGAGATGCCCGTTGAAAAGTAGCCCCCGTGGATCTTGGCAGCTGACCCGTCCCTGCCCGCTTCTCTGCCTCTACCTTGGACCACCTCGGACTTGAAGAAGCGCTGCCTGTGTGGAGACTCCCCCCCCCCAGCTCCTCTTCATCTTCATTTCCCCCCTTTCTTTTTTTCTTCTTCTTCTGAAGCACCGGACGGGATTGATGGCTTTTTCCTCCTGGAGGTGGGAGAAATAAGGCTTCCTCCTCCTCCTCCTCCGCCGCCGCCGCCCAAGCCCGAGCCTCGTCGGAGCCCGGAGGCGGCCGAGCCTGGCCAGGGGGGCGCGGGGGGCGGGGAGGGGGGAAGGGCGACTCCGTCGAGCCCCCCCCAAGCCCCTTCCGCTGCAGAGGAATAACTTCCGCGAGGATTGCCGTGCTTCTTGGGCTCGGGGCTCCGAGGGGGAGCTTCTTGCCTTTGGGAAGTCGCGCGGTGGGTTTTTGTTTCCGATTTGCATCCGAACGACATCGCTGCCAGCCACCCTCTGCTTGACCTTTCCACTCGAAAAAACAAACAAACTAACCCCCCTTGCCCCAGACAAAACAAAACAAAAAGCGATCCCAGGGAGTTTAGCTTAAGGTGATCCGAAAGCAAAACCAAACAAAAGCCTCGAGCTCCGTGGATCGGCTGCCCAGATGGAAATACACTGTAAGCACGACCCGTTTGCAGCGATGCATAGTAAGTAGAGGCGGCTGGTTCCATTTCTCTCTCTCTGTCTCTCCCTGTCCCTCTTTCTCGGGCGTAGAAGGATGGAGCTGCCCGCCGTGCCTTCGCCCCGCTCCCCGAAGCGGCCGCCCCGAGCTTACTGGTTTAACTGGGAGGTGTGGGAGGGAAGGAGGAAGGGGCTGCGGGGCCGGGGATGCCTTTGGGCATTGCTCCTCGGGAGGCACGACGGCGGTATTTGACCTGCTCTTGGCAGCCGGGAGCGGACGAGGGCAGAGCAGGAGGGAGCGAGCGAGCGGGGCGCTTGCCCGGCTGGCAGCCTCCTCTGTCCGGTTTGTCCCCTTTGTGGTTTCAGAGGAGTTAAAGCAAAGCAAAACAAAAGAGCCACACGGACATCCTCCTCTCTATGCACAAACACACCTCTTGGGCCACAGTCTGTAGGGAAGGAATGGAAAGCGTTCTCCCTTTTGCTTTAGGACACGATCCAGCCAGAGCGAAACATTTTCGAAGTCCAAGTGATTTCAGGGGGAGGGTTTGAAGCATGTGCTCTAACTCCTCCTTCCAGCGCTGGGGAACTTAAGAAGAGGTTCTCTTCGACTGGGTTGTGTGCTGTTAAAGCATCGTCATCATAATTATAATCATCACCACCTTTTAATAATAATAATGATAATAATAATAATAATAATAATGATAATAATAATAATAAACTCAGCAGAGAGTAGCCTTGCCTTTGTCTCCAACGCAGATTAAGTGCTGTTAGACCAGGAAACGAAAGCCAGAGCTTGAGCAAAAGAGCAGCTTCTAATATAACAATATATCTATCCTAAATGCATTTACTCGCAGGTAGATAGCATTGATTTCTAAATTGCTTACTTTTGCATAACGAATCTACCCAGCAGGGTGTTCCTATGCATGTCTACTCAGAAATAAGCCTCACTGAGTTCCATAGGGCTTACTTTCAGGTAAGCGTGCATAGGATTGTATCCTTACAGTATTTTTTTTAACCTATAGGAACCTTCCACAAGCAGGGTTTTCATTATTATTATTATTAAACTATGTTTTCCCCCTTTCCTCCATCCACTTCTGTGTTTGTGTGTCTTACTTTCTCTCTGTCTTTGTGTGTCTTTTTCGAAGTTCAGGGTAGCCCTGCTTGACTTCCCCCTTCCCTGTTTATTCTGCAGTTATGCATGGGAGGGAGAAAACGCCTAAGAAGAAAATATAATTAAAACGACAGTGACCACCAGATTATTTTAACGCCGTTCTAAATAAAAACTCCTTCCGTATATAAAATACAAACTTGGATTTAAGAGTCACACGCCCCCACCCCAAAATAAAAAAAGTTTTGTCTGTAGTATATTGTTGGCAATGTTCTCTTAACACAAGTTTTAGAAATAAAAATGACCAGCAGTTTTAAAATGCAGTATAAGGATTCGTTCTCCCTTGAAAATTATTTTAAAAAGGCAAATATGTGACGACTGAATAAGACAGGATGTTTAAAAAGGCCTTAAATATTGGAAGTTGGCTGTTTAAGTTAGCAGGTCGTGTGTAATGTGTTTGCTTGAGATTTGTTGTGCTTGAGAGGGCTAGAGGAGATTTATCCATTAACACAATGTTATGTGAAATGACATCTTCTCTCATGGTGAGTTAAACGCCGGATTAGATCCAGAGATTTCAAGGAAATATAGGGTAGAACTAATCGCATTTCCCTTATGCACAAGGGCCTTTTAGCCAAGACGGATTTTCTTTTCTAGAAAAAAAAGGGGGGGAATCCATGTGATCTATCTATCTATTCATCCATCCATCCATCCGGCGGCGAGATGGATGTGATCTATCTATCTATTCATCCATTCCCTCCCCAATAAAACAATTTCATACTAGATCATTGGATGCATGCAGAAAGCACAACGCAGGGCAGGCAGGCTGCAGATTCGATTGGAAAGTATACAAGAGCCGTCACCGACAGATAAAAGTGGTAGAGGAACACAACCTCCAGAGCTGAAATTGTCTGGAAAGGTTAAGGCTACTGATGCGCGCCCGCTCAGCCCTGCATCGGAGGAGAGAGGCTTTAAAATACGAACATCAAAAGGGGTCTTCTCTTTTCTCCCCCCCCCTCTTCCCCCCTCTCTCCTGGAGTTGCCTTTGTGCTAATTTGAAGAGAGAGCGAGAGCGCGCGCATATGCGTGGAAGCTACCAGGGGACATGGGGTTTCCTCCATTAACCTAAATAATGATAAATCGATAACTTCTTCAGGAATTTAAGAAGGAAAACAAACGCGGAAAAGAGAGAGTGGAGGGGGCGGGGGATAGGACCCTCACCCAGCGTCTTATACTTCCCCAGTCCCTTCACGATCTTGTTATTTTAAAGCTGCGCCGTCAAAAAGAAGCCAGTTGTTGCTCTCCTTTCCCAAAGTGGCGGGTAGGAAATGTGATTGATATCTTTACTGGACATTAACACCAGCGCGCTCCTTTCTGCCAGGAAACGTATTTTGTTCTGCAGGAGGCGCCGAAACTTCGGTTCAAATGCGCAGAAGGGAAAAGAGCCCCTCGCAGTTTCCTCCCCTGCCCAGCCAGAAGAATCGCCTTCTAAACCAGACACAGCCTTTGATTATAAAGAAATCCGTAGTACTAGAAGAATCTGTTTCCCAGGAATCTGTTTTAGATTCGCTTCGAACCATGGCAGCACTGGGCGCTCGATTACCATTCTCTTCAATGAGGGAACTCCCTGGAAATATAAACACGGAAACGGCTCGAAAGCCGTGCGCAAAAAGGCACCAAAATCCCCTCCGGACAAATCGGATGGCTGCTAGTGGAGGTCTTTTAACAGCCTCGATATATGTTTTGGTCCCGGGTGGGTGGGAGGGAGGGAACACGCGTTTTCTCACGTTAACCATCACCAGGGTCAAAACACACAGGCAGGAGAAAACCTTCACGCCCCGTGCTACATTGTAGCAGCATCTGGGGGGGGGGACCAGACCTTTGTAGGTGGACAGACAACCAGGGAGGAGTGAGCCTGCCTGCCTGCCTGCCTGCATACAACCTTGTAGTTTCTCCGACTCCCCCTCTCTGTTCCTTTATGGTAGTTCGCATCCTCACCCATAATTCACTCTGCATATTTTCTACATAGATGAAACTAGTTGATAGCCGGAGTTTTAAATCGCACGTTTCGCATACTCCATGCATTAGCTTGAGCTGACCTGACTTTTCAATTAGCATGATAGAGCTGGGCAGGCTTGGGGGAAGAGACCTTTCAGTTACTTCTGGTTAACGAGGAGATTAAAACTGGACAATCTCTCCCAGCTTCATATATGAAGAAAACTTTTTCTTCTTCTCTTGGCTGCCGCTTCCTTCCATATAAAGTTTTTTCTCTTTTAACTCACTATTCCGTCATTCGCTGCCGACGCCAACAGTTAGTTTACGTGTAAAGGCACACTGAAACACAGTCAGGTTTTGCAGACGGAAGAAAGGGCATCTGGGGGTGTTGATGTTTCAGCTGACGTCCTCTGTGATGGCTCGTTCAAATTATGGAGAGCTCCCAAGCCAAAAATCTCAGTTGCACCAGTATTTGCCACCCCGTCTGCAATATATAATAAGCCTTGCTCTCTATAGTGTGTATAGGAAGGCTGGAGTGCGTTGAGAAAATGAAAATTAAGAGAATAAATTATTCGGAATTAAAGCAACTATTAGGTGTGTGTGTAGATAATAGTTGATCAACATAAGCGATACTTTTGAGGATGGACTACAAATCAGGCTCTGCATATGATCAAAATGAACCCCCTTCAATGGACCAGATAACCAACTGGACCAGATAATGCCGGAGACAGTTAAGTCTTGGACGTGCCAAAATAAAATCATGTGCAATAGCCAAAGAGAAAAAAACATGAATTTCAAAACGCCCCATCTAGGCCTGTATGAGTGTTCTTACCGGTTCCTTAAAAAAACAAAAACCAAGTGACAGTGAAACTGAAATAGATAGTGTATTAGATGTTTGTTTATTGATTGCTAATGAGTTTTCTCCCATTGGATGCGCGTGCTTGCACCCCCTCGCCCCACATAACCTGTTATCTGTCATGCTACACTTTAGTCAGGAACCAGCGTTGGCGATTCATCAGTCTTGTAAAACTTTGTATCCAAACAGGCGGACTGACTCATTGTATGCATATGTACAGATTTTTTTCTACTTTTCTTGGCGGTTTAGGAATCTATCTATCTATCTATCTATCTATCTATCTATCTATCTATCTATCTATCTATCTATCTATCTAATCTTCTATCGTCCCTGAAGGAAGCATGGAATAAAAATATGATCAGTTAAATAAATAAAAACAGCTGCGTAACACGCAGGCACAGCTATATAGCAATACATTTAGCCACGGGTACACATACTTAATTCAGCCTGTTTTGTATGCAGATATCTAATACTGATCACCGGCAAGCACATGGGCAGAAAATGAGAAAGATTCATGCCGAACTTGCGACACCGGCACATAGCATCACACACTCTCATACACACACAGACGCACCCAGCTTCCTTGTGGAAGTTTTTCGAGTAGCTAATTCTATAGTCGACATTTGTCGGTCCAGCCTTACTAAATATCTGCAACCTGATTTCTCCTGGGCAGACCAATTATCCCAAGAAGACAAGGAATCTTATACTGGGCAGAACAACGAACAATATCTTATAAGAGCTGAGCTAACTTGCATTCTGAGAAATAACTATCTGATCTTTCTGTATCTCGAGTGTTTTAATGTGCTTGGCTGATCCTTGAAGCAACGAAGGTCTCATCAGCTCGCTTTCCCTTTCTGAATTAGTGCTTTTTATTATTTAAGTAAATTGAAACACCGATAACTTCTATCTGATAATAGAGAATTTCTGCCTGATAATAAGGAAGGCACACACTGCAGCTTCCCCACGGATGGATCGTTTTCTTTTCATTTAAACTAGTTATTCCCTTTCCGTCCCATAAATTTCCCCCAGCTAGTAAGATGACCGACATAAATCCGTAGTCCCCTTTAACTGCCAGCAAGAGACTCAGGAATGACTTGTGCGTCGTTTCCTTAGCCCAGCTTGCACTTCGGTGTCACGGGACAACTGCAGATCCAGCCCACCAAGGAAGAGAGTGCAGGTCGGTCAGGATTAACATCAAACAACCCATCCAGGCCTTGGGTAGGAAAGGATCCTTTTCCTGGCATTCTCCTCAGTCCATATAGCTTTGGAATGGAAACTCTGACTGCCTTCTTACTCCCCTTCATTTTGTACTGGATGAAAACCAAAAGGCTTTAGGTTTGAAATTGGCCATTGTGGGTGGGGAAGGTGGTAATATTTTTGGAAGCAGAATATCATGTGCCCCTGTCTGTGTCTACTGTATGTGTGTCTTTGTCTGTTAGTTTTCCTACCTAAAACACCCACTTGTTTAAACTTCCTAACTCATTTTTACTATCCATTAGCATTGAGCTCCTTAGTTTATTTCCTTAACCCACCCCACCCTCCATAAGGACCAAGCATTATATACACCCAAGGTCCGTAATTCAGGAAATGTGATAACTATCTCACCCCTGCAAACCTTTTACAAAGGTGGAATATCAATTGTTTGATTTTGCTCCAATCATGTGCACTGTTGGGCTGCTTAAACCTTCAAACATCAATGGCACATCCAGGAGCAATAGTCTTGATTATTAGAATTAAAATGTTCCATAGCCTTCTTAGTGAACCTTTATACACTAGGATGCGAGGGAATTCTCCCCTCTGTCATCCCCACTCTTTTTCTGTCTCTGCCTTCTTTTCCTCTCATAAATCGTCCTTATATTTGGATATTACAGTAACAGTAGTCACCTGGTTGCAACTTTGTTCACTTGGGAGACTACAGTGCTTCCTTCTTTGCCCTTGCCTAACTAGTCCAGGTACTCCCAAGTTTGTTAATTTCAGCTGGGTTTCATTTTCTTTCAGCATACTTATCTGTTTCAGCTGGGAAGCTGGAACTACTCTACACTACATAACTTCTAAGAGCAGGGATATACGGCTGTCTATGTTAACTGATAAATCTGACCCCTTTCCTGGTTGCTGCAATATTAACCAGGATTTTAAATCAATAGAGATTGCATCCAAATGTATAGCTAACCAAGACCTAAAAGTACACAGTCCCTTTACCTAATTTTGACTTTGCAATTTGTAATCTTTGAGGATTCTTACGCAGCCAGCATAGTGAACAACATTTCTATTAAATAATGTTTAATATTGTTAAAGCACATTCACTGGGGTAAAAATAATGTCAGAAAACCATGTTCTTTCAACAGCTGAACCCTTTAATTTTTTTTTAAAAAGCTCCTTCTTTCCTTCCTGGTCCAGATAGTATTTTAAAGCTCAAAATGAAGGCACCAATAAAATAAAGAAAGCAAAAAGTGGACTCACCAAACTTCATTTTAAGGGCAGAACATATTTAGTCATAACTAGTCAGCTGAAAAATAAAAGATTCAGTTTTTAGAATGAGTAGCTACAGTAAGAGTCTGTGCTTGGTTGACACAAATTACTTTAATAATCAAGTAGTTATTGTGGATTTTTCATATGTTCTGACATACTCCAAAGTTTGACAGCAATTTATGAACTGGGAAATTATTGGGTTTAAAATAAAAGTGTTTTATATATGTAACTGGTTTGTTTAATACAGAAACGGTTTGCCTTGTCAACTGATTCTGAACAGTTCAAGTCCTCTGTAAATAGAGAGATTAGCTTATTACTTTTGCTCAGTTGTTGCCAATGATGCTGGTTATTGCAATTATTTGTTTTCAACATTGCAATTTCTCTATTATAAGTAGTTTGCATGATTAACAATTTGGGAGTTAATTATATTTTCTCAGTTAGCTACATGTCATTATATTTCGCGCTCATTGATTTTGCCCAGTTAGCTGCTATTCATCTAGTTGAGAACCATTTCACAACAGATAGATGTTTCACCTTGCTAAAGGAGAGTAGTGAAAATACACACAGAGAAAGAGTAATCTAGTTTGTCTGAGCCAGGCTCTGTAGGCTCCTAATATTTATAGAGGCTCTTCTATATCCTATCAGCTAGAAGTTATTGACTATACATACATACATACATACATACATACATACATCTTGAGGACATACATAATTAAACTGTGATTTTCAAAGTAAAAGTGAATGCTTGGCAAATTTAATCTTCGAATAAATTTTGCTAAATTTGCCCATATTTTCCCCTTATGGGAAAATATTTGGGCCTTCTTTTCTAACCAAGTGAGACAGGACCCCTGACCCTAAGCACGTTTACTGGAAAGTAGGTCTCATTGAGCTTAATGGTACTTAAAAGTGAGCGTGCTAAGGATTTTCAGCCTTTATATCCACCCTATCAGTTAGGCATCATGAGTGATTTTACATTGCCTGATGATTTCAGGCATTGGCCTAAAAATAACTTTTGAGAGATGGTTTTGCAAATCAGAGGCCTGATTCTCATGCCACATAATCCTGGGTAATTATTGAAGTAATTAGAGTTACACAAGTGTAAAATTGCTATCAATGTCAAATTAGGTCTCAGTAAATAACATTGTTCCTCCTCCTCTCAGCAAATAAACCATAGCCATCATTTCAGAAATGGTGAACTGAAACTGAAACTCTTGTTTAAGAATTTGCCCAGTGCTTGATGGTAGATGGGAATCTATAGCTGAAACAGGCCTTATGTAAGCATCTTCTAAACAGTCACAAAGATGTATTTTTTTCTCTGCTTGTTTTTGTTTTTGTTTTTGTTTCCCCCCATATGTTTCAGGACATGGAGGAGTGAATCAGTTAGGGGGTGTTTTTGTGAATGGTCGACCACTCCCTGACGTAGTCCGCCAAAGGATTGTGGAACTTGCCCATCAAGGTGTCAGACCCTGCGACATTTCCAGGCAACTACGGGTCAGCCATGGCTGTGTCAGCAAAATTCTTGGCAGGTAAAAGGAGATAAGTGAATCTCATTGATTCTTAAAGAGAAATTACCATGCTGTTTGTTATTGGAATGTGTTTTAAAAAACAGTTCGGTTTGTGACTAGGCAGATTCTTGGGAGTTAACCCAATGATGACAAGAATTTCAGAGAAATCCATTATCTATCTATCTATCTATCTATCTATCTATCTATCTATCAACAACCAAATCTAAGATATGTTTTAGAAATAGATTATTTAGAAGTTTATCTTTATAATTAAGAAGTTATTGATTATGGAACTATTTATTATATGCTTCCTACTGAATATACTGGCAAATCCATGAGTCATCTCAATATTATGGAAAATTACTATTTAGTGAGAGGTACCCTTTCTGTTTCTAATAAACATTAGCAATTCAAATAGTAAATAGTTGAGGCACACTCAACAGAACTAAGTAAGCCACATTGAAACCCGCCTGAAATCAACAAATGCTCGCTTAAAAAGCAAGCCATTTTTATTCATTTAATTATTTAATTTGCATATAATAAATAAAAATCAGTGTAACTATTAATAATCTTAATTACTGAACTTTAAGTGAACCTATCTGTTCACAGTGGAGATGCTCTAACTGTGTAGCAACAGCAGAATACTTAAAAAAGAAAGAAAAGGAAGCTTCTGTTGTTTCAGTATGTAAAGTACTACTTGACCTAGGCCGAGGAACAGTATGATTGTGGACACAATGATTTTGAACATGCTATGATATAATGCTCCAATTTTTAAAACAAATTAATCAGGCGCATTAAACTAATGTAACTTGGTTAAGATCACAATAATCAAGTATTGGCTCTTGCAAAGGAGAGTTTGTTAATGTACCATGTTACTCTGCTTCCCATCACAATGATACTCTTTTCTTTAGTCACACAAAGCATATACCGTAATATATTAGTCTTTAAGGTACTGTCGGATTCTGTATTGTCTCTCTGTCCACCCATTCCCCAGTAACTTTGAATAAAATCTGGATAGGTTATTTTGTTATCTATCACTTCTTTGTTTTTCACCTGCCCAACCTAGAAAAAGTTAAAGGTTTTTGGTTGCATTTGAATAATTTCAGCTGTAATCCAATTCATGCTTTTGTGGAAGTCCCATTGCACATAGTGGGGATTACTTCTGAGTAACCATGCATAGATAGAACTCTTAAATGTTTATCACTGATTTTTCAACAGTATATAAATATCTTAATATTCATTTTCACTACTATGACTTCTGTACTTCCACTGACATATAAAAAAAGCTATTCATAAGCAGACGTAAAGATTTGTAGTTAGTGCTGCACAAATACAGTTTCTTTAGAAAATTGTGCAATTTCACACTAACTAGAGCCAAATTCTCAAGTAAATTAGGTAAATTATGGTTCCTTTTTTAATAAGGTCATCTTTCCATCTCACTACATAAAAAGGAACTTTTGACCATGGATGCAAAACCAGTCCCATTTATATTAAAATACAAAAATTCTGCAGTAAAATTAAACATTCTTTATAGTGTTCTGTGCATGTGAATCCTTTCAGTATCCCCGTTCTCTGTGCGAAATCCTCAGAGTCAATAGTGGGATATAGCAAAGGTCAGCAGATACAAGTAGACCTGGATCTTTTCTGTCTTACATCTATTTGACAAAATGTCAGTTCACTGGATTAAAGGGAAGGAGTCTTGATTTTATACTGCCATGTGTGAAAAGACAAAAAACAAGCCATAGATGCTGCTCTGCTAACTTTAATGGAAATACTCTTGAGTAAGTAGTTTCAGGACTGGATCCTTAAGCATTCTAATATTGTTGATATTTCTTAAAAGAGGCAAGTTAGGAAACTCAGCGGAAAGCCTATCAAAGACACTGGTAGTGTTAAGATTGCACAACTGGAGATTTTTCAGATTTTTGTTTGTGATGCCGGAGGAGGCCAATATGTAAGGTCTCAGGAATGTTATTTAAGTGCAGTTTCTAAAATTACCAGTGTCAATGGCAGCAGTCAGTTTTGTGACATTTTATCTTTGCTACTTCATCCCACCCCGATGGCAATCACATCAAAATTTAACTTTTAGCTTACTATTTCTATTAGCCAATGAATAAAACTAATAAACAAGCAACTCCTTACCAATAAGAAAGAACATCTAAAAGTTTTACTGTTTCTGAATAGATTTGTCACTAGATATATTTGCATTGCTATGGAGCTAAGAACTGAGTTCCAGAGCTTTGTCATTTAAGTTGTCAACAATAAATTGGAATTTCATAGCTCATTATTTTCATAACTAATAATTACAGTTGGTAAAATGTCACTGTAATTGGAGCACTCTCTCTCTGTGTGAATATATATATATATATATATATATATATGGAACACGCACAGAAAATATGCTTGATTCTACATTTAGGAATCAATATTTCTTAATTTACAACAGTTAAACACTGGCACAAAATAAATAGCAACAGTGGCAAACCTTTCAAAGATGTCAACACCAGCAAATTGTTTCTATATTTAATAGTTTGTTGCTGAGCCATCTTAACTATGATTGTTTAACTGATACTGCTTGTGAATATAATGGGATCTGTATAGGCAATGCATTTTAGCCCAATAACAATGCCAGCATCCTGAATATGGGTCTAGATTCTTCCCAAGACTGGATATTGCATTCTGGGACGTTTGGTCTTCTCAGACTATAAGTTAAGTTATGAATAGGTGCAGTTTGTCTTATGGTGGTTGTTCACAGCACAAATGAAATTATTTGTCATTACTTGGTTTGATACAAGTTTGTTAATTTACCGACCCTAGCATTAGATGAAAATAAGAATGATGTTTTAATCGCCCAGTAATTCACGATCCATAGAACCAGACCCACCTATTTTGCTGTACTGTTTGAGGCCCAGAAGCCAGTCTGATGCAGAATCCTGTATACTATCATGTTTAAAATATTAGTGACATTTTAACCTAATAATAAAAAACAGTGCTCTCAGATCAGGTCTATTCCAAACCTGCTTAGTTTAAATAGTGTAATAGCATTAGGTAACACAGGGTTATGGCTTGAACGCTGACCTATTAATGAGCAAGTCCCTGGTTTAAATCTCACCACTGCCCTTTCACTCGGTGACTTAAGACAAGCCATTCTTTCTGATGCTCAGGCCCTTGCTATACTTTTTATAGCAATTTAGACTTCACTTCACATGGTTCAGGCTATTGCAGGCTCCCAGGCCATTCTCTGGGTGGGAAAATCAGAATTCAAATACCTGCTTGGCCATAAAGCTGACTGGGTGTCCTTGCGCCAATCACTCTCTCTGCCTCACCTACCTCATAGAGTTGTTGTGAGGGGAAAATAGAAGGGGAAATGGCAGCATGTACTGTATGCTGTTTTGAGCTCCATGGAGTAGTGAAAGGTAAGATAAAATAAAAAAGTGAGAGGTATATATAGTAAATAAAAATGATTTCTAAATCAGCTACTGAGGGACAATGAGTGCAAAAGGATATGTAGAAAATCAACTATTGTAAAAATAAAAAGTACTCCTCATAAGCACAGTGACTGATGAGGGGCGACTTTCTTCTTAAGTACTTTATCAGCCCAGTACTATTGACTTTGATGAGAAGAATTTAAATTAAATTAAAGTTATTTTCCTTAACTGAGTTGAGATCAGCCATGGCTGATTAAAACAGGAGAGTCCATGAAGGCATTTGTTATGCATTGTTTTGTCATACAAATGTACACTATCAATTATTTTATGATATTCATTGTATATACAGTGGTACCTCGGGTTACAAACACTTCGGGTTGCAGACTCCGCTATCCCGGAAGTAGTACCTCGGGTTAAGAACTTTGCCCCAGGATGAGAACAGAAATCGCATTGTGTCGTGGCGGCGGCAGCAGCGGGAGGCCCTATTAGCTAAAGTGGTACCCCAGGTTAAGAACGGTTTCAGGTTAAGATCGGAACTCCAGAACAAATTAAGTTCGTAACCAGAGGTACCACTGTACATGAAAACTTTGCAGCTTCATTAGACTCAGTGCAATATTTCAGAAGGCTCTAATAGCAAGCTTAATCCAGCCTTCCCCATCCTGGTGCCTTCCAGATGTTCAGAACTACAGTTCCCATCAGGCCCAGCCAGCACTGTCTTGTTTCACCAGTATTTCTCAGCTAAAGAGTTGTACAACAGACAATTTCTTTAAAAACCCAATAGGAAAACATAAACACAGGATGTAACTGAGCTACATATCCTATTGAAATCAACCACAAAACCCTCATTGATTTTAATGGTTCTAATCTCACTTCAGTGTCTTGCCAGTGTGGTGAAGAAGGATATTAGGTCCTGACAAAGGGCTCTCAGAAAGAAGACGCCCAGCTGAAATTGTGTAGTTAAATGAAAATATGATGGGCACCAAAGTGCTGGGTCCAAAATGCAGCCCAAAATTGTAAATTCATCTGATTTTAATATGATGTGTGTCCTAGCCTTCTGTATAGAAAAATAATACAGATTTATGATATTGCTAGTTAGAGAGCCTTTGGTTGGTATACAAATAATTGGGTTTTCTGTGTTGAACTTCTGTTGGGACACCACTGGTTTGTTATCATGGCTGTTCTCAACAAGGTTAGTCCAGAGACCTTAATAGTCTTTAGTCTACAGTAGCTGAGCATTAGACTCAAAGGGTGCACATTACCTAAATTTTCTGTAATGTAACCATGTCCATTTTACTGGTGCCTGTATAGGAAAAGTGCTTTGTAGATTCTTTTCATTTGCATCAGTAAATTGCAATGGGTTACCGAGGAGAATGGGAGTTTAACAGTAAAGCCAGTAGTTCAAAAATTCTCCCTGCCCTGAAGATAGCAGTCAAGAAAAATGTGTTTTAATTTTTGCCCTTCACAATTATGAAGAAAAAGGAATGAAGAAAAAGGAGAGAAATTTGTGCATTGTTTTGACTGCACTTATCTTTCCATGATATTGTTTTACCACTTAGTTGCAAAAAGATGGTAAGTCTTAATAGTAATTTACTACAAATGGGACCAATGCTCCCCACCCCTTTTTAAGTAAAAAAATTATGCCAGTGCCAATTTCTTTTTATTATTGTTGCTATACAGATTAATAACACACATTTTCAGTTAATTTTCAATTTTCACTTGCCCTTTAAAATCACATCATTTTTATTGCCTTCTGGCCATGAAGGAAAACACACATGCACCTATAGTTATATATCAAACAATCTATAATGGCAAATTTAAAAAAGAATTAGGACACAAATCATGTGACGTTAAACACTTCTAAGTCTTATTGATTTCAGTGGGAGAATTAAATACATGGGTTGCAATTTACTAGGGGTCCATTACATTAGAATATATAATGGGAATGACCACTGAAAATGCATTCCTGAATTGATTTTAATTTTCCTCCCTCTTTCCTGAAATTTTGTTGTAGGTACTATGAGACTGGAAGCATTAAGCCTGGAGTTATTGGGGGGTCAAAACCAAAGGTCGCCACACCCAAAGTAGTAGAAAAGATTGCAGAATATAAACGCCAAAACCCCACCATGTTTGCCTGGGAGATCAGGGACAGGCTTTTAGCAGAGCGAGTATGTGACAACGACACAGTACCCAGCGTTAGCTCAATTAACAGGTAAGGATCTTTTGGGCGGTACAATGGAGATGCATGTGGGCAGTGTTTCTTACAATTGTCTGAAAATGGAATGGGTAAATTTTGATTATTTGCAGGGCTCTTCACATGTGTAAAAGGCATTCATAGCCATTTTGTGATCTGTTTCTCATGCAATGTTTGGAGGACTGAGCATAGCTGGAAGAAGGACCTTGTAAGAAATTTTCTGAAAGGCAAGGGAAAAATGAATCTACAAAATAAATAAATACGAACATTTCTTTCTCCACAACGCCCATTGTCTCTGTCTTGAATTTCCATTTTTCTGCCGTCTAAGAACCTGATATTTGTTATGTGAAAACTAGGAACGTAACTGTTCTAATGCAAAAAAGTGTGAGTCTATAACTTTGGAATGTGGACTGGGAAATAAGGAAGAGCTAGTCTAGGACAAGGACCATGTGGTCATATTTTGCTAGATTTACCATCCATCTTTATTATTGATTACCCTAATTGAAAGTGAACCTGGGTAGATCAGTAGTGCATCTACTAATAGAAACAAGTGTGGTAGAATCTAGAGTGTCCTCCAGTTTAGTGACCTGTGCAATGTGTCTATTAAATCTTATGCAGAGGGATGATTAATTTTGCAAAATTCTTTTGAGATTCTTGCATACAAAGTGCTATCTTAGATTGTGTATTATGAAGTTTCTGTAATTTGTTCTTGTCCGGTGCATGAACAGTCATGCTTATGAACAGTGTGTCAATTACTGCTTTTCTCAAGAAGCAATCACTGTCCCAATGTGCATAATTGTAGTTCATCACATCAAAGGTTAAGTATATATTTCATAGGAGAACTGAAAGATAATTCAGCTATGAGCTACAGTTTACTTCACAGTAGTTCTAGTTAAGTCCACCTTGTTACCCTGAAATAGCTGGCTTGCAGATCACATCCTTTGTGAATTTTTATGTTAAATCCCGAGAAACCAAGCCCCATTAGTGGGATGTGTCTCGTGTTTAAGGTAGCAGCACAGCTTAAATTGGGATATTTGGATTTTTTAAAAAATATACAACTTATTTTAAATTTAGAAAATTCACACAAGTGGACTACTTTTCTGTATTAGAAACAACAACCCCAAAGAAAATTTTCATGGAATTTCATTTAAATGCTCTAACTTTATCTAACAATAACACACTATTTGTATTGCTGGACATGTAATATATAGCTGCAAAATTATTTTATTTGTTCTTTTCGATATCCAAGCATCTTTGGAACACTCACTAAATACTTAGTAATTTCCTCATAGGATTTTAAAATGTTTTTTAAAAGGTTAGGGTACAAAAATTGCTGCTTTTTGACTGGTTACTAATCTAATTGCATATTATCACCAGATATTTTGCAGTGAGAATATACAGCTTTGCACATATTAATAATATGAAGAAAGTTAGTCCTGTTGAAATTAACAGGGTAATTTAAAGCACTTCCGGATTTTCACTATTATTGGATGAGACTCAATCACATATTGTACTGGCAAATTCAGGTTGCACAATTAAAGTTGATTGGGAGGTCTTGCACGGCAAACCAGCTTCACCTCCAGACTGACCTTTTTAAAATAAGGAAAGTGATGGGAAAATGTGCTAGAAAGTACGGGATAAAATTTGCTGGATGCAACATCATTTAACCTCCCCACAAGCAAATGAGAATGAATGCCCAATAAATTGCTGATCTCACCTAATCTCCTTAAGAACTTTGTGCAGACGAATAATGATAAATGTTCAATAAATGGGTCACCTGATATTGCAATTGATTTATGTCCCATTGAATTCAATAGATGTTAAGTGCAAGCAGCTTCACTTTGGCTCCATCTTTTAATTCTAATGCCATTCAGAACATTGGCTTCTGTTTCCTAAACAGAATGAAATCTCAAGCACTAGAGACAATAGAGCATAACCTAATTTATCTGCCTTTCCATATGCTTTGGTTATTTGGTATTTACGTGCCCTGTTGCTATGATCATTGCAGGACTGTGGGCAAAATTATGTGTTCAGAAAGTGTCTGGCTAAAATGAAGCTGTACTATTTTTGCATATTGCAAAGTCATTTATTTAAAATGTTTGGCTAAAACTGAGAAGTAAAACAACAGCTTGGCCTATAGGCCAATTAAGGGAAAGTGCATGGACTTAAACCAATTTAGTCCCATTGATGTCAATATGGCAAAGCTGGCAGAAGCCCAAATATTCCTGGGTTGGTTTGGGCTGTCTGAACTATTTTTTGCCTGAAAACAACATTTATCTTTTATGTGCGTGAGAAACCACCGGCCCAGCTCTGCAATCAGCTATAGTCATACTACTAGTTATACTGTTACAAGGCATGTATCCTGATTCTATGCATAACTAGCAAGTTACTTAACGTTTTAGCTTTTGCTACCTGCCCCAAATGAAACTGTTATTGAAGAATACTGAAAAAGTTATGTATCGTAATACATAGCTTTTATATATTGTAAAACAGACCTGCTGATTCCGTCATTTTATAGCAGAGACTCTGAAGAACTGAGTAGGGTTGCCATACGTCCGGACTTTTGTGAACATATTCGGAATACTACACTCGGAAGCAGCGTCTAGGAGGGAAATCGCTTAATGTCCGGGAAAATCCGGGTGTATGGCAACCCATGTCAGGAGTGTCATTTTCAGCGATTTTCCATAAAAAACTTTTCTGTCCAGATTTTCCCTGTTTGAAATATGGCAACCCTAGAACTGAGTATGATTAACTTTCTTCCTTCTCTTCATCTGGAGGCCACCAGACTGGGGAAGGCTGCTTTGTAGAATATCATACATGAATAGACAGGTCCCTACCCAAAAAGCTTTAAGTCTAAGTTACCTAAGTAGTGAAGGGGAAAACACAGCAGAAATGAGGGAAGGGGGAATGTAAAATAACAAAACAATGAAAGGAGGGAGGAATTTATTTCTTGCACTGAAACCCACGTGGTTGCATTAAATATGGATCCTTAAACATAGATGTACACACACACACACACACACACACACACACACACACACACACATTTCAATATAGAGCTGTGTCATGCAGCTCCACATTAGTCTCGTGGCACATCAGAGAGGCTAAGGTAATAGAGGATGGATGAGAGTAAATGCAGGTACATGTATTTACATTTTTTTTTAATTTCCCAAAATTCTCTTTTGTAAACTCATGGGTGAAAAATACAGAGTTTGGCTGTAAACCTTAGAACACCAGCTGCTGGTGACCAGTAACAAGGGAAACCTATTAACTTCATGCCCTGCTTGTGAGAACACAATCATACCTGTCTGGCCACAGCTGGTAACACTGCTGAACTAGATATATACCTTTGGTCTTCAACTGCAAGGCACATATTATGTTCATAAAAAGAGCAGGCACTGGTAATTTTTTTGCATATTTCCCCCCCTTTCAGTTACTCTTGCTGTATTATTTTTGAATATTACTGCCTAATTACTTAAAATGATTAGCAGCTAAGTTCCAAATAAGTAAATCACAAAACAGGTTGGTACAGTTTGCATGAGATAACCCCCCTGCAGCAATCTGTTCAATCTCTCTCTTTCTGTCTCTTTTCATATACACATTTATGTACATACATGAGGGGCTTAAAGGAAAGTTGATACCTTGTTGATTTTTGCATTTCAGAGAAAGAGAGAGAGAGAGAGAATTAAATCTCAATCCTGACTTATGTGCCTGGGACTGAGGTGTTCTAGTTGTTCTTTTCTTTCAATTCATTCCTCTAGGTCTGGTATTTACAGCAGAGTCTTGATCCTACACCAATAATTGATAAAACACAGTGCCAGCTCAGCTGGGCCCCTGCTTACGTCATTTGTCTACTGTGGATATATAAAAAAATGTTTGCAAGATGACAAGTAAACTTGAATTCACCCCTAGTGAATGAAATGCTTTATAGTTCTGGGGAAGATAAGGTATAAGTGGAGAGACAATAGCAAATGGGCAGATCCGTGCACATTCTGACACAGAAAAAGTGCATGCTTCTGTCATCTACTGCACAACTTAACAGTTTCTAGGAGAGGGCAAATTGGCGTCCTTTGAAGAAGCGACTATGTCTCTTTCACCAAGTACGTATTTCTGTATAGCAGGAAATATATGGATCAGATATATTAATTTATAAGATACAGAATAAATTGAAAATGTGTAAATAAATAGAGTTTGCAGGGCAAAGAAAGCAGGTCCATCTGAATGTTATTTGAAAACCTAATAAAATCTAGCAATATTTAGGGATGATTCATAATTCAGGTGGCATTCATGTTTTGCATGTGGCGTTTGATGCCTGAACGCATGAAATGAGGATGTGTGCGTGTAAGCATAGGGTGGACATGCAACAGAGAGTAACGATCACCAGTTCATTCAAGGCCAGTCTTCTCTAACCAGTTGCCCCCACAGAAGAACCTCCCCACCTGCCTTGACTAGCTTACACGCCACGTAGTATTGCTCTGTAAAATGGAGAAAGCTATGTCCTGTGTGGAAGCACAAAGCAGAAAGGAGACATATGGGACATTCTGCCTTATATATTAAAATAAGAAGTGCCAGGTTGGTCCCTGGTCTGTCTGGAAGGCACCACCATCTCCTCCGTGCTCTGAACAATCTTGTTTGAGGATGCTCAGTAAGGAGAAAGTGAACTTTGTATATACTCAAAAATGTATTTTATTTTAATTGATCAGGAAGCCAGCCTGGAAGCCTTTTTGAGCAAACACTGGGCAAAATACTTTAAAATAAATACATGTGCTTCTTTCTTATACATAAAGAGAGAGAGAGATTATTTTAAATTAGGTGCTGTGTGAAATATCCAACACCAGCCCTGCTCTGAACCCTGTACAGATGCCAGCAGAATGATCGGTGTGTAGGAATTGCACCAGTCACCTGTTTGGTTCCCAAGGCCATTTACTCAGTGCAAAACCACTCTACAGCCTTGTGCGGATTGAACAGGTCAGTTGCATGCTGAGATGCAGGCAATGTGAAGTGTAGCAGCCGATTTGCGGCAGTGCAGATACAGCCTCCAGACCTTCATTCTAGCTAGATAGTGTGCAAGGCTTCTAGTGGAGAAGCTGCTGTACATTCAGAGAATACTTGCAGAGCAGACCTAAGAAGTAGAGGTTCGTGTTGCCTCATCATCTTCAGACTGAAATTCTCAACTATGGGTTCCTGTTACTTTTAGGTGTGCCTCAGTTCCTACCCATGTAAGAAGGCTGCTCGCTGTGTCATTGTATGATTTACTGTTCTTACCTTGCTTTCTTCTAATCAAACTCTTCTAGAGGCGGGCACTTTGCTGTATCTCTGCATTAGGTGTGATCAGATCAGCTTAGTCACCCATGATGCAAAGACAGAGCAGAATTAACCACCTTCTGCACGGCTCACTGCTCTGTTCCTTGGGCTTGTACAGTCTAAAACTATGTTCAGAGCAGTGCCTTGTGCTGTAACAGGCCTTGAACTAGAATTGGGGGTCACAAACTCTTAAAATGCAAACCCTTCAGTGTACAGGAGTTTTCGGTTTTACTTATTTCTTTGAAACGTGCTTCAGCTTTCAAAACTTTTGGAAATATAGTATTACTCAAAGAGGGTCCCATCCTGAATTGTTCATTAAGTATTAACACAACACAACAACTACAACCAAACGCTTCAGGTGGAACTTGGAGTAAGCCCATTGAAATTAACAAGCACAACTACCATTATGTCTGTTAATTTCAGGGGGTCTACTCTGAGTAAACCTTAATTGAGTACTACCCATCATAATCATCTACAGTTTGGTAAATGGTGCAAAAGAAGAGGCAGATAACAGTAATTTGGCACCGTCACTTTATGAGTTGATGTTCTGAAATGCCAAAGAGGAAAATGTTTTGTTTTTTTAAATGACAGGAGAGTGTTCTTCTGTGAACATACTAAACATGAAAAAACAAATCTGGAAGACAACCAGGCAAAAGCTGGGAGTGTGGCCAGGAACTCATCAGGCCACAAGCTGCCAGCTAAAATATTATATTAAAACAGGCATATATACTGTGTGGAGAATTATATCAATTAACTGTTTGCTATTTGATAAAAGACCGTTCTATAGTGAGTGCATCAATCTTGTTCTTATTTAAATCAATGGCAAGATCTCCATTTGCATCACTAGGAAAATATACAGAGAAGACCTCCTGCGTTCAGTGCTCTTAATGCATCTCCACGGTGGATTATCCATTGTTAACAATTTTATTTATTTTATGCTAACTTCAGTTCTCCAACCCAGGATTAACAAAAGCCTAAACCATATGTAGCACACACACACATTTTGCTGCCTAAAATATGTTAGCAAATATTTTGAAAGTAGGTATGACTCTAGATATGTATGTATGGTAAATTGGCACAAAAACCTTAATTTATGGTGATGTTAATGTTTAGGGCATTTCTACAAGTCTGTTGTGATCAGCCAACAGGAATGAGCAGAGAGGAAACGCCACAGAATTATTTACGGTAGTTGCGAGGGTTTAGAACTGTGCAGATTTTGCTCACTGAATATTTGGTGCTGTGAGGAAAAGCAACAATCACCCACAGACCAGCACCAGGGTCCACATTTTGCCCCAATCTGGATAAATTAGTCATGCTTAACTCCAGTTGAAATTAATGAGACAAGGTATTATTGAGATCAATAATATGTGTAATTATTATTATTGCAGTTATTTTATATCCATTGGAAGTCAATGGAATTTAAGTACTTAGATCCTGCGTTTTGGACACTGTGTTGTTTATATTGTATATTTGGCTTTGGTCCATTTGCTCAGCTGCAATTCTTTCAGTCTCTCTTGATGGGGTGATTACATATATGAGTTACAGTGACTGTCCAAGCATTGTGAATGATGACATTCACATATGAAAGTGGGCAATCCCAGTTTTGTGAATGTATTTAAGTAGACATGCATTTCCCAACTTTTCAGCTATGGCTGATAACACATTTAGGCAGTTCTCAGCTCAGTGCTCCTTTTTGGTTTTCAATTTGGGAAATATAATAGTAATGAAGAGGAATAATTTTCTTGGACACTCATCATGCTTAGTTATTGTTTACCTGCATAGCTATTTTTTGCTCTATTGTTGTATACCTAATAGTAAGTAGCCATTTGTCTATATGCAGGATTATACGGACAAAGGTACAGCAACCACCCAACCAGCAAGTCCCAGCCTCCAGTCACAGCATAGGTAACTTTTTTTTAATATACTTAAAAATATATAATGCAATTCATTCTAAAGAACTTTTAATCACTCTTATGGGCAGATAATTCTGCACAGAACACTTCAGCACACGTACTAATGCACCTTCTTTGTCATTCTCCAAGGGCTGAACATGGTAAATGAATTTTATAAATACTGCTAAAAGGTTTTGAATTTTACTGATTATTATGATAAATAGCTTTCACCATGAGACAGAAAATTGAAATCTAAACCAAAAAAAAATCAAAAAATCATCCCACTAATGGGGGTCTATAGAATGTCAGATAATTAAAGTAATAAATCAAGAAAGGGATAGTTATTCATAACATTTTCTGCATCATTAGTCAGTAAGTAGTTTTGAATGTGTTTTTTTCTTCTATCAACCAACCCTTCCATAATTCTTTGTGCACTTGCAATTTTGAGTGAAGAGGTAGCAAAACTTTGAAAACTTTTTACTGCGTTTTCTTCTTCTTCTTTGCCTAATTCACATGCAGACCATCTAACTCTAGTCATTGAAGAGTGATGGACTTTATATTATGGTGTTTTTTTTCTTGTGGAGTCTCTGACAGATGAGCATAACCTTGCTTAAAATAAGCCCTGTTAATTCAAACTACTTTTATAATATATTCAAGCTTCTGTAGTCCTGTTGAACCAAATGAGTGAAGTCAAAGTACTTCGGCTTAACTGGGTTGTAAGGCATGCTTCCATAGACCACTTTGGCTTAATATTCACCACCTCTTTTCTCTTCACTGCAGATTTTCAAATTTTTCCTCTGCCTAATCCTTTAGAACTGAATTCACTAAATTTTATCTTGAAAAATCTCCATATTTTCTGAGCTGTCAGCATTTTAGAATATTAACAACCTAATCCACAATCCAGCTAAAATGAAGTTCTTAGATTCAAGACAGTTAATCTCAGTGATTTCAGTAGGGACTAAATTGGTTTAAATCCACATACTTCATTAAAAATTATGGACTGGACTACAGGCAAGCAATCCTCTAACCATTTACTCTGGAATAAAAATCCTGAGTCCAATTTTAGAATCTGGAGTGAATCTCATGTATGAAGTGGTAACTCTCTCAACATATAGGAGATTTCAGACAACTTGCAGCGTACATTTCGGTATTTCTGAATTGCACGAATATATATGACATATGAGTGATGGTTTAAATAAGCCTCTAAACCACAGTTTCCTAAATACACAAACTAGAATGTCTACCAACCACAAAATTTAATACGAAAGAGACCACTCAAAACATACCCTGCATCATAAGTCCAATTGATGCAGTTCTACCATGTCCAGGATTCCCAGTGAACTCTACAGAGCTTCAAGTATTGGACCGGGCTGTCCTTAGTATTTGGCAGACTGAGGTGCCTATCTCAGGAGCCATATTTTGGATGCTATAAGAGGGCAGCAAATTGTTAGTTATTTAATCTATTATTATACTTTTGGCTCTTGGTCTGGGCACCATATGCACTGTGTTGAGGCAGTGGTTCAGAGGATCTAGTGCCCCCCAGTGCTATCTTTGTCTTACTCAAGTCCTCAAATGCTGAAAGAGTTGCAGATTACCAGTCATATCATAGATTTCCTAGTATCAGGGGTCCTAGCAAGAATGCAATCTACTGTCAATTTAGAGCAGCTTTTCCAAACCCCCAGATGCTTTTGACTATAATTCCCATCAGCCTCAGCTGGCAAGACTATGCCTGATGGGAATTGTAGTCCAAAACACCCAGAGAGCACCAGGTTGCAGGCAGGTGCTTTATTGCGTTGGACATAAATGGGGGGAGATGTAGGCTCAAATCTCTGCTTGTCCAGGGGTTTATTTGTCCAGGCAAAATAATCATAACAAACTTTTAGACTGATGTATCTTGCAGGATGACGCCATATATGTTGACCTGAATGCCTTGGAGATGCAACCAGCAATCTTTTGTGAAGTAATATAGCATAATGTTTAAGAACATGAGCTGTAAGCTACTTATCTGTAGTTCTTATCTCATTTCAGCCATGACCTCTATGGCAGTGTTTCCCAACCTTGGGCCTCCAGCTGTTTTTGAACTACAATTCCCATCATCCCTGACCACTGGTCTTGCTAGCTAGGGATGATGGGAGTTGTAGTCCAAAAACAGCTGGAGGCCCAAGGTTGGGAAACACTGCCTATGGCATTAATGGATTCCCTTAGGCAGCTACTTCTCATCTTAACATGGGGGCAATATAACACTAGCCTATGGTACAGAGTTGTTGTATCAGTTACTGATAAAACAAACATGAAGCATTTTGAGCAGTTGAGAAAAGTGCTATATCCTGTGACAAGGGTAGCTAACATGGTGACCACCAGATGTCTTAGACTACAACTCCCATCATGGCAAATGGTTGAGTATGATGGGAGTTGTAGTTCAAGACATCTGGAGGGCACCACACTGGTTAACCTTGTGGTATGGGTTAGTTAATGGCACAGATCTCTACCATTGTTCTCATGGTATACACAGCTGACTCTCAACTTAGGCAGGGGTTATGTTGCAGGGATAGTGCATAAAGTCAAAATCGCTTATAGTCAAAATATATTGGGTGGAATTGCCAGTCTTTCCCCCCAGAGGCCCACCCCTCCCGCCTTTTATTTTTATTTTTAAAAATCATTTGCCAAGCCCTTGAAGCTGAATGCGCACAAGTTAAATGCATATATGTTGTGGGTCTACTTTGTGTATATATGAAAATAGACAGGGCAGAATATTTTTGCAATGCTTGATAGGTACCTGATGCTAATTTAGCTTGCTGCTGTATAAAGCTGGTCTTTCTGTCAGCAACAAAAGCTAATAAGATAGGGCTGGGCTGTAAGACATGGCAGAAAATGAAATTTAAATGTTCAAGAAAGGTATCCAGGCTGCAAATTTCCCTGTTCCCCCTCTCCCAGCCTCCTGGTTGTAGGTAGTGGTATTGAAACACAACTATCAAAGATGGCAGTCATGGAAAAGTTGTTTGCATGGCTTCCTCTCTTGTGTGGATATGTGTACTGATTGGTTTGTTTCTAAATTACAGCTTCCACGGGTTCCGTGACACAAGTGTCCTCAGTAAGCACAGACTCAGCAGGCTCCTCCTACTCCATTAGTGGAATTCTGGGAATTACCTCTCCCAGTGCTGAAAGCAACAAACGTAAAAGAGATGAAGGTAAGAATAAACACATATTCCTTTCATATTCTTTTTTTTATAGTTTATAGAAAGAGTGAAATTTTATCCTCAATCTCTGCTGCAAAATTAATTATCTCCTTCTCACTACAAACCTGTTTCCCACTTAAAGATACCAATTTTCTTTGTATGTTAATTTGAATTAACACACACACACACACGCAGATAGGAGCTAATAAATTTCTATATCAGTAAAAATTATAATTTCAAAATAACCCATTTGGAAATTAGGAGCCAAACTATCAACAAAACAGAGATTTGAAAAGGCTTGGAATCTGCCTCCTTTGCCATACCATTTTGGAGGACACAGTTGCGAACTTTTTGTCTAGTGATGTGACTATTTTAATTTTACTTAAGAACTAAGTGGGAGGAAAAAGCATGAGATTCTGACATATTTCCTCTTGACTAAAATGATAGGGGCTTGCAGCTTTCCAACACCAATTACTGTATGAATTGACAACATGGTAAAACACCTTCTGTTGCATAATCATTTTAATATGAGAACTGGGCAATGCCTCTGACTCTTCTTGCATGATCAGTTTGACTGAGGGTAGATTCACATTATGGTTTTTAATGCTGACTTTTTTATTTTGTAGATTTCTGAATAATTTAAAACTGCCTGGGTACAGAAAGCATTGTGGCAAATAGAGGTGGCACAAGATAAACCTTTTGTTTAAATAGACTTGCTTTTGTTGAATGAGGCTTTTGAATGGTTCAGCACAAGTTCATTAGCATCAACTTCATTCAGCATTTCCTGGTTCAAGTCACTTTCTAAAGACTTTTCAGAATGTGCCCAGTTGCATTTTGAATTAAAACCATTTACTAGGCTGGATCTGTCTGTGCTATGACTGAAATCTGTAATTGGTTGGATTTGTAGATTAATCAACTGAAGTTTGGTTGATTAATTTGTATGACCAATTTTTAACAATAGAGGTATGAACTAAAAACACATTTTGGTTTATTATTTTCTTACATTTTCATAGCTTACCCATAACAAAAATTCTCAGCAGCTCATGAAGCAATATGTTTTGGTTCGTATGCTAATAAAACTGGGATTTTTTTTAAAAAAAGAAGGGAAAATATTAAAGATTATATTCTGTTCAAAAAAGAGTGGAAGTTATGTCTATTTAAGTTATGTTTATACATCCTTAAATATCACCAAAAAAACCACCACCTATGGTGAGGTTCTGATAATGTGCAATGTCATTCAAATTAAACTGATCAGTTACCAATTAACAGACAGTTAGTACTATAATCATGTAGTTTTTAAAATTCTAGTGTGCACTTGGTGTGCACAAATCTGATGAAAAGTCAACTCATGTTGGCTTTGGAACACAACCCCCCCCCACATGTGAACAGACTGTGCTGCCTCCAGTTTTGGAGGGCTTTTATGTAAAGTGCACTCATTGGGCCCTCTTCCTAAAAGGGCACACCTGCTGTCATTGCAATTAATTACCTTGCCCAATCTGTATAAGCACCCATCCTATGGTGTGATCTTTGAGGATGCCCAGAGATGTCTGCCCCTGATGCCAGTGAACTGAATTCTATGATTATAGTAATACAAGTAAAACTAGGGTTTGGAAACAAGCTTTTCAGCTGCCAGAAATAGTCACTTTGATGATCCAGTAATTCTCAATAAACGTGAAAGCACTGATGCATGTAAATGAAACTCGACCCTTCCACTGAAAGGCGCGGGGAGCCTGCTTTTAATGTGAACAGGGTGCACCCAATGTTGCTCTAGTCCAGTTCCGCTTTCTGCAGAGGAAGTGTTTTAGGTTTAGGGTTGTTTACAACTGTATGCTCATCAGGAGTTCATGAACATATAAAGCGGTTTGCTTAAATGTGTGCAATGAGTCACCAGAGAACTAACATGTTCATATCACTGCTCCCCAAAGGGTTTTCAATTGAAGTAAGTCACAAATTCAGCTGTGAGTCACCAGTTGCTGAGCAGTCCAGTTATGGATGTGCATGTGTGAACTAGTATTGAGTGCAAAACTTCTGAGTTGGAAATCATTTTAATTATAATCTGTTCTCACCATCTGTTTTGATGGAACTTGGCCTAATCTAACAGTTCCACAGATATAGAACTAATGCTTAGCAAGCATTTGCTGCTCATTGAAGGTTCAAAGCACTTTACACACATCATGACAGCAATTATTGCAATCATCCAATAAGTTAGGTCAGTATTACCTTGCAGGCAGGAATAGAGGAGATATTAAAGGTCTACATAAATATATTTAGTGAATTTACAACTGAGGTGAGAATTGAACCAGGTTTTCCTTGGCCACAGCAGTGCTCTCCACCACAACGCAACAATTCTCAACAGCACATAATAATATATAATGCATCAGGAAAAAATGATGCTTTATTGAAATGATATAGCCTCATTAACTGTTCAGTTTGTTTCACCCATAACAAATAAGTTATAGACAAAACAGGCACCATAGCTGATAAACAGATAATAGATAAAACCACTTAGTCAACGTACATTTATTGTAACATCTACAAGCATAACAATCTGCATTAACTGTGACCAAATGTAGGGGGGAAGTCCTCCAGATATACCAGGGGTCATCAAACCTTCTCAGCAAACCCTCAGACCTTGGGAGCCAGGACTAAATTTTGAAAAATAATAATGAATGAATTCCTATGCCCCACAAATAACCCAGAGATGCATTTTAAATAAAAGGACCAGTGGCGTAGCGTGGGGGGTGCAGGGGGGGGCCGGCCGCACCGGGCGCAACATCTGGGGTTAGGGCAAATCCACAGGTTAGGGGGCGCAAATCCACGGGTTAGGGGGCGCAAATTACTTGCCTTGCCCCGGGTGCTGACAACTCACGCTACGCCACTGAAAAGGACACATTCTACTCATGTAAAAACACGCTAATTCCCAGACCATCCATGGGCTAGATTTAGAAGGAGATTGGGCCAGATCTGCCCCCCAGGCCTTAATCTGCCCACCCATAAAGCTAAAGGTAAAGGGACCCCTGACCGTTAGGTCCAGTCACAGGCAACTCTGGGGTTGCGGCGCTCACCTCACTTTATTGGCCAAGGGAGCTGGCGTACAGCTTCCGGCTCATGTGGCCAGCATGACTAAGCTGCTTCTAGCAAACCAGAGCAGCGTACGGAAACGCCGTTTACCTTCTCGCTGGAGCAGTACCTATTTATCTACTTGCACTTTGACGTGCTTTCAAACTGCTAGGTTGGCAGGAGCAGGGACCGAGCAACGGGAGCTCACCCTGTTGCAGGGATTCGAACCGCCGACCTTCTGAATGGCAAGCCCTAGGCTCTGTGGTTTAGACCACAGCGCCACCCGTGCCTACCCATGAGATATACTAATCCACTGATGTTTAATATTTCCTTTGTATTGTAGGTTAGGGTGCATGTGCATACCTGCTACATCTACTACAAAGTAGTATTTTACTCATTTATTTTTGAGGATCAGTTTTTGGCCAGTGTGTTTATGTTTTGTAGGGACAGAGCTGCTTAGGTATTGAAGATTGCCCAATCCCTATTCAGCTGATAGAGGGCTTAGCAGGATCCCTTAGCCTTACATTAGTGGAGGGGAACCAACTCGTTATAGGAAGATAAACAAATTGACCCCAGCAATCTCTTTCTAGTGTGTGGAATCCTAAAACAACAAAACATTTTCCTTCTGTTAGGTTCCTCTAACAAATTAAAAAAGAGAAACTTGGAAATGCATTCCTATTAATACATTTGGGAGTAAGCCCTATTGAACTCAGGACATGTGCTGCAAAATGCCCACACTGAAAAATGGCTGTAGATTCGGACCAAAGAGTTGCCCCAAAATGAATTTCCCAGTTTGAATGCTATCATAATTTTGGTGGAAAAAAGAAGGAAGATATGGTTATTTAATTATAGGGAGCAGTATAATGCATAATATACAGAAGGGGGCCAAGTTAACATTTTTTTTTACTTTTCCAAAGTGCAACATTCAGCCTTAAATATCATTTTTGCATAGTTGATATATTCACAGCTCTGCTCAAATATGTTGGGAAATACTAGGCAGTAATTATGTTCCGCTTGCAGGTGCTGTGTGAGCAGGGCTAGCTAGTGGTATAGAACGGGCTCTTTCCTTAGAACTCATAAACTGTATCCATGACACACTATGATTCATTACCTTTTTCTGTTCACCTCACCATTGACATTCTTTAGCAGATGTCACCAGTCTTTAACTCAGTGGGTTGCATGCCTGGTAGCAACAGGGGCAAACTATATCAGACAATCTTTATTGGTTTATGTAGCTGAAGGTGTCATTTTCCCCTCCTGTTGTAATATGAATTCAGAGCAGATGTGTCTTAGTGGGGGATCGGTTGTTTTCACTTATAACTAAAGGACACACTACTGGAGACTGACAAAAGAAGCAGAACATGGACAGCAACTAGACAGTAGATGGTTGCTAAATAGAGATGAATTCTTCACCTCCCCCCTTCTTAAAAGGCAGATACTTTTAGCCACAGTGGTGTTCTTGAACATGTTAACTCGCTTAAACTTTGCTAATTTTCCACTGCAACCGCCCCCCCCCCAAGTTAACAATGCATATTGGCAAAGAAAAGCTACAGAAGAAAATGTAGTCATTTTATTTTATAGTTTCAAAGTTGCAGGGGAAGTCATATGGTATAACAACTGGCCATGTGAAAATGAATTGTGGTTTATTATATGCTATAAATTAGTAGAGAAATAAATGCTTTTTAAATGTTACAAATGGCTATGTTTTCAAGGTATTCAGAGTGGGAACAATGGAAATGAGTCTAATTTTAAGAGGATACCAGGTGAATGCCTTCTGTGATTATTATTTCTGCTGTATAATGCTATTTTTCTGTTCTTGTTTTAGAGTTAGTTTATAACTGATGTTTTTAAATTTTTATTCATGGGTTTTACCGTGAGCTCTTCCGAGGAAAGATAGTATATAGATATTTTAAACAAACAAACATATAGTACTCTTAAAGTACTGTTCCTAT